GATTCTCTGCTTACCGCTAGACTGTCGCTGGTGGATTTCACGTCCACGAATGCTGGTGTAAAGTGAGATCGCCAGTGGGATGTGGGATGTTTCTGGGTTAGGGCTCAACAAAGAGGAGGAAGCGGGAGTTTGAATGGATTTAATGTTTTTTTTTTGTCCTTTTGTATCCGGTTCGACCGTATTCCAGTTGCTACTAACTAAGACCAAAATTCAAAATGCTACGTGGTAGCTTCTTATTGGTGGGTGCATAGAACGTGGACTAAATATAGAACTGTTTTTAGAGATATTTGGTTTAGATGTAGGTTATAAATGTTAAATAAAATTATCATCAATGCCATGTAAAGTTTAAACCTCCCCTAAAATTTCACCTAAATAATGAAATATCCCCTCACTTTTCAAATTAGACTTGAACCTCCCCTATTAAATGACATCAGCAGACATAAATAGGAGTGTCGATTGGACTGGATGTGGTCCAATCCGATCCAGTCCAATGTGAGTCCATTACAAATGGACCATGTCCAATCCAATCTAATGAATAATTTGGACTATTTTGAATCGGTTCAATTCAATGTTTGGACCATTTAATTTGTTCAAATTCATTTTAATTTAGATTGGGTTTAACCCAAACCGAGTCCATTGACACCTATATTCTTATCTTATATCAATGGACAAAATATTGACTTAATCCACCTAAATTCAATATTAATCTATTATGTCTTTTTGGTTCGTCCAATCCATCCATCCAAAACTGGTCGATTGGGCCACTGTTTTCAAAACCGGACTAGACCGTACAGTCGGACCAGAAAAACCGGGAACCAATCACCTGATCGGTTCCGTTTTCCTCCAAAACCATTGATTTTGGTCAACAAACCGTTGAACCGACCAATTAACCGTTTGAACCGTTCTAACGATTTTGACCGTTTCTATTTTTTTTTTATTTTTTTGTCAAAACAAGCTGACTGTTCGAATCGAATAGTCAAACCATTTGAACCGATAACCGGACCCCTGAGCGATTTGGTCACCGGTTCGTTTTTAAAGACCATGGATTGGACACCTTTAGACACAAACTTCCCATCCTTTAAACTCTCCTTCCGTGTTTTTTAGCACATGATATCATGTGCTGTTGATTTTTTTAATTCCAATGATACCCTTTATTACCTCTTTGCCTTAATAGATTATCTTATGGGGATACAAACCTCTCTTCACCGATCAAAAGCAAACTTGAACAAAATACCTTATTTATAAAAATTAAATCTCTGTTTTAGTTTTTCTGAACAATTTTATCTTGTAAAATATACAAACAAATGTGAAGTGGTTTCTATGAAGTCAATAGAGGATCTCTTCAGCTATTATCTGTAAAGTGGCTTTAATCCCCACTTTAATCTGGGATATATTAGTCAATTTACTTTTTCTATTAAAGATAACAGTTTGTAAATCTAAGAGGGAGGTCTAAGTCCAATTTGAAAAATGAAGGGATGTTTCAATATTTGGATGAAATATTAGGGGAGGTTTGTCTTTTACCCTAAAAATTATATATACACACATTTACACATGTGCTTTTACTCTAATACCATCTATATCTTTACCCCTTAATTTTTACAAATAAGTACGCTGCAATTCATTGCAGAATTCTAAATTCTAATACAGACCTATAAAAATTTAAAATGTCAAATACCCCCATTTTGTACATCACATATAACTTAACATCAATTCCAAGTTGACACCTGTTGAGCCTAAAAATTCTGACACTGGGATAAACGTCATTCTCCCTAATTTTATTTGCACATAAATAGAATGATGTTAAATGGGTCAACATCATTGTTGTTATTCTTAAATAATTTCTGGTCATGTACAATTCTTTTATTATGAATATAAACAGTAACTTAACATTTCTGACAAGAGGTTCATTAAGGAAAATTTTAAATAATCCACCATATAGCTATTCGCCGGGTACCCATATAGGTCCCAGGTTGTAGACCACTTGGACCCAAAACTTGATAGATCTTCTCTTCATCAAACATATTTGAAGACCTGGGAAAAATCTGATTTGGGTAAAGGATGCTGACCTGGTCCATAAATAAATGTGCATAATCATTTCCAAACCAGATTCTGGTTTATGATTGGAATCATTGGGTCTGACCCGATAAGACTTATTTTATAATTGAGAACTGGGGTTCGACTGTGATACGGGAAAAACTTGTAATATATATCATGCCTTTCTGGCAGCAAAGATTTGACAATAAACCTACTTATATATTTGATAAATTGACACATTTAGACATCATAATATAATATTATTTTATGTCTTAAGTATATTATGATGAAAGAGAAAAACGGGTATTAGATTTTAGAGCTTTATAACATGCCAATATAAGTATACTTGATTATGCAATTATATATCTATGATGTTGAAAATACTTATCAAAAAAATATCTATGATGCTGAAAAGACATTATACAGCATATGGGAAAAGATTTAACCAACCACCACTTAATTAATTATCTCTTTTATGATGCCGGTTGATTGATTATAAATTTTTTTCGTATCGTGTTTTATCGATATCATAATCTAATCCCAGTTGGTTTAGGTCTTTATGGATTTGGAACAACTAAAACCAATCCTTATTTAAACATATAATGCAGATTGTAGACACAAAGCCCGTGTAATTGAGTTAATTGGTTTGGGTATGTCCGATCTACCTGATCTATTGACAGCTAGGGATGCAAATTGATCAAATTCTGACTCGAATTCGAATTCGATCTTATTGTGTCGGATTCTAATATGTCCCCCTATTGGATTTTTGTATTAGAATAAATTGAATTTAGATCACCTCTATCTCATCTGATTATATATATATATATATATATATATTAGTTATTTATTCATTTATAAACATGTTTATATTTTAGTTTTGTATTTTTTATACAAAGAAATATTTACATATAATAAAAATAGTTGAAAAATACTTGTATTTTTTTTTTGTTTTTTCTTTATATAAACTATTATATTCTTTCTTTTAATATTTTATTAAATTTTAAAGAAATAAAATCAGATTGTGTCATATTTAAATATCCAATATCCTTAATAAATTCAAATTAATCGGATATAAGATTTATAATACCGGATTCAAATAAACCATGTTTTCAATCCAACCCAATCCGTTTGCATTCCTATTATCTATCGACAGCCCTACATATTATATTAGATCTGTGCTAGTACCAGTGATAGTGGAATTGTCGGATATCTCGGGTATGAGAGATCCATTGCCACCGGGTTGGGAAAGTACAGATTTAGTGAACGACGAGTGCCGACAAAGGCAGAAGAGTCCAACGAGAACTGGGAACGAAAAGCAAAATAACTTACAACTATCAGTCTATCACGTCGTTTCGTTTCATCCATTTTAAAACCTAAAACGGGGGTTAGCCTTTACGTGTCATACGCCTTGAGCTTGCATGCTCTCTTGTCTCTTTTCTAGGAAATATAATATATAAATGTTTTCGTATTAAATCTTTTTTTTTGGTAATAGAGTTTTCGACTTTCGTATTAGATCAGCTGTTTGGTCTGTGCTGCCTTGAATTCCAAACAAAGCAATAGCCCAAAAAAGAACCGAGTTCTATAAGATTGAAGAAAGGGACATTCAACAACAAACGCAAAGGCCCAAGCACGAACCAGACAAAGATGTCTCATCTCTCCTTTTCAAATACACTTCTATTAATTAATCTGTTACAAGTAGGTAGCCACTCCGGTCCGGCCATGATGGGTGAGATAGGCCAACCTGGTTTGAAGGTACCATTCGCACTGGATTCGGAATTTGGACTTAAGAGTTGTCATTGGTCAGGTGGTCTACCTGATGGAATCAGACTGGTTCTAGTTCTGTCCTGATTATAATTGGGCCGGAGCCAATTTTTGCTATTCTAGATTAGTTTTAGTTAAAAAACACTTGTTTTATCAACATATAAACAGTTTATTATTTAGAAAGATTTAAAAAAAACTGATCTATTTTGGGTCAAACGGGTTGATTGTTTGTTCTAAATGGTCGGTCCATGATGTTTTTAGAACTTAGAATAATTAAAACAAAAATAACATAAAACACTATCCAGGTTAGGTTAAACGGTTTAATGATTCAACCTCTAACTTGAGGTAAGGTAAAAAAAATGTAACAAGCTAAGGTGAAAAAAAATGTAATAAAGTGGGTCCTTGGCTCTCCGAAACTTGAACTAAAATGTAAATAATTCCCGTCTAATTAATCTGCCTCCAATGCCCAAAATTAAGAAAAAAAAATATTTATTTTTCTTTAAAAAATCTATACAAGATTCAAACCTTCTCAAGCCAAAAAAATGTAACTTCTCACCCCCCCCAATAAAAAAAGATTTAATGTCATTTTTATTAAGATTATATCATCAAAAATGAAATTTCATGTTATCATATTATATGAATATATGAATAACCCAGTAGACAAGATGGTCACATCACAACTCCTCCATTGTGAGATTAAATTGTGTATGCAGGTTCTTTGTGGTAGGCCTTACATGCACCCTACTCTGCCCCGTAAAAAAATTGTCAAAGTATAACAGAACAGGGTATATATAATTGGTTTCGTTCTGGTTCGTAATTTAATAATTTGGTTCCCGATTATAATTGGGTTGGGACCGGTTCCACCCTGTCCCGGGCCAGTCCGATTCATCGACGGTTCTATTTTGAACTCTACAGCGTGGTCCGGTTTACCTAATCCGGCCTGATTGGGGGATCGAAATCGGTCCACCGAAAGAAAAGGCCGAGTGCGTCGGGGGCCGGGGTCGATGTGAACGTGACCAGAAAAGAACGGGATATGTCCGCTCCGCTGTTTCGTGGGCGTGTGTTTTTGGAATCTCTCACTCACTAGTTTATCTCAATTCACAAATCACAACTTTAGTCTGTACATGAATTCTGGACATTTCGCTCGCACACGCACACACACACAAAGGTAGATGCCAATGTGCCACCTCCTTTTCTTTTTCTTTTTTTCTTTTCTTTTCTTTTCTTTTTCTTCTGCACTGCACAACTCCTACGACCAGCACTTGTTGCACCAGAAGCTGGAGTGGAACCCCACCATTGAGGCAATTTCGTTTTGTCGTCTCGTTTTTTTTTTATTCTGCTGCAGTTACTTCAAACTGACGACGAGAAGAGAGAGAAGGACGGTGGGTCGATTAGATAGGGAGAAGAGAGAGAGAGAAATATAGAGGAGGAAGAGGAGGAGGAGGAGAAAGAGATCTTTTTAGTTTTGATAAATGGGTTCGTCATCTGGGCTCGGGAACAGCTATGATTACTCCTTCAAGATCTTGTTGATCGGAGATTCGGGTGTCGGTAAGAGCAGTCTACTAGTTAGTTTCATCTCCAGCTCTGTTGATGATCTCGCCCCTACCATCGGTACGGATTCCTTCTTTTTTCAGAGAGAGAAGTTCTTTCTTTCTTTCTTTATTTTTTCTGCATTTCTGGGTGGGTTTCAATGGAAATCTAGTAATTCTGCATTGAACACTAGATGTGGTTTGTTTTTCTTTTTTTGTAAGCCCGGTGTTCTGTTGGGGATGATTCATGCATGGAATGGAGGCGTACTGTTTGGTTACTGCTGGCTCTGTTTCTGTTGTGTTCATGATCCTTAGGATAACTGTTCTTATGGTAATTATCATGAAAAAAAAAAGATAAAAGTTTATTACTGTAGCAGTTGCAGAAGGGGACAAATATTCATACAGAAACTTTCATGCAATTTGACAGGATAGACTAGCACTAGGTGTCTTTTGTCAAGTGGCAACATTTGATCCTGATTTCAGAAATTTCAGAGGGCTGAGATGCACATTGGCTTGGGTAGCATTGGGCAAGCTTTGGATTCTCTGGCCATTTCTAACTGCAATTTGATTTCTTAACCTGGCATCTTAACATTTCTAACTTATGGCATGTCTGGTTCAAGTGTAGGGGTTGGGGCTTGCGCCACTGGGTATTTTTTATTTTATTGCTGGCTGGTTGAGAAGTTGAAACCGCGGGGGGGAGGGGGAGTGGTTTTCTCAATGATTCAAACAGGGAATTTGTACAGATGTGCGATCAACACACTTTTTTATAGTGCTCTACATTCTTTTAATGTGATTCTTGATTTTCACTTGGCAACAGAAATAAGGAATCGCAAACTGATTAAAAAAATAGCTTCTTGATTCTCTGTGTAGTGAAGCGGCAATTTTCTTAAGTACCAAAGTTTATCTAAGCTGTGATATAGGGCATAGTTTGGAGTATATAGGATAGAAATAACAGAAGAATAAAAGATATTGTGGATGTCAGGAGGTGGGGTTTAATATCTGTTTTATTATTTAAGTGACTAAGAGCCAGTTACTAATTGAGCCTAGTAGGTTAATAAGTAGCCAAAACTAATAAAGTAAGTGTAAAGAATGACTGTACTGGTGATTTCTTATAGACCGATGCTTTGTTGAAATCATGGTTTAAAGTATTGATACACCTAATATGCACGAACAGGTGTATCGGGTATTTTGATGCTAATTACTTTTTTTAAGGTTTTTTTCTTTCAAAATTGCTTCAGGGGTCGGTATTATGCATATCTATCCCCTGAAACACCCCTTATTTGGGTATTGGAGACCTGCCGATACGATATGATATGCCCGATACAGGACATATCATGTTGATACTTTAAACCTTGGATGCAATGGCATATTTGATGAGGAGGATACTTGTAGGTTAATGAGCAGCCAAAAACCAAAAAAAGGAAGTATTCAATATATCTGCTGACTGCTCAGTTTTTGTTGTCAAAATCTTACAATTTACGATACGGTTCGCAATTTGAATCATAAATCCCAAGGGTTTCGATTTGAATCTTACGTCCAAATCCTTTTCTGCAAAAATCTTATGATTTTTGTTTGAATCCTACGATTTGATTCATAAATCTTATGATTTATACAATTCACTACGATTCAGATAAAATTTAATTAAGAATTAGTTCTCTACTTTGTTATGTTTTTGTTTATATTTAGTTTTGTCAAGGGAGTTTTGTTAAGCCCTTACTAGAAAATGATTTATTTACGTTATTAAGACTAGAAATTGAGTTTATTTTCCATCATATGTAGGTTAAAAAGCCATTATATGTGGATTTGTTTGACTTTTCAAGTCAAACTTGATTATATCATCTCAGGCTTCTATTGTATAAGTGGTAAATTCTATTATTTTAGGTACATATATGGTATATATAGATTAAAAGTAGGGTAAAGTCACTTTTCTATATATATTTAGTCTTTTAATATATATATATATTTAATTTTTTGACAAGTTTATAAAAAATAGAAATAATCTTATGATTTACGATACGATTCACGATTTGATTCGATTCAACTTTCTCTATGATTTACGATTATGATTTTCAAAACATTATTTGGCAATGAGATGTCTTTTAGGAAGCTTCTCTTAGGCCATAATGCTGAAGTTTTGTTATTGGATATGTGAATTTTAGTGTTTAAGAAGTTCATATTTTTTCTTTTGATAATACAGTGCTGATAGTACACAAGCACAGGTTTGCGTGTACTTGTTCATTTCTCTAATAAATTACCTTGCCTTTTTTCAAAAAATGAAAAAAGTACAGAAGCACAGATATGCTCTATGTTATCTCCTTTTTTTGGTTTATACTTTCTATTTTAAAACTTGTTATTAAGCAACCAAATCTTTTCTTTACAACTTCAGTTTTTCTTATCTGTCTATTTATATGGTGAACTTTTGATGTTGTTCAAACCATGTACAGGTGTGGATTTCAAGATCAAAATGCTCACAGTTGGTGGGAAGAGATTGAAGCTAACGATATGGGACACAGGTAATGGATGATGTGATTGTTTTCTCCACTTGTTTTCAGTTCAGTACTTTAGTACCTTCTTGGTTCTATTGGATTTTCTTGATAGTTGATATTGATTTGCTTGGTCTTTTTGTTTGTTGAATGTAAATGAAAGGTTCATGTATTATGAAAGAACTCTGTTTTTTTCCTCTTTCTTTTCTGAAATGTTCTTTAGTACTGAAAAGTCAAAAATGAAAATTCTTTCTGAATTCTTTTTCTTATAATCTAGAAAAATTATCAAGATGAGAAATATTAAAATATAAATCTAATGAGAAATATCAAATCGCTGTTCACTGAAAGGCGATTCCAGTTCTGCCACCCATAAGATGCTACCTCCACTGCTTCCAACATGATCTACAGCTGTGCATCTCAAACATATTTTATACTTGTATGTTGTCATTGATGGGAATATGAGATTGTTCTCTTGAGATGACAATCATGTTTGAGATGTGTGGCTATAGATCAGGTTGGAAGCTGTGTGGGTAGCAGATCCATACTTCTAAAAGGAATAATTTGTTTTATCTTATATAATTGATGCAAAACACTATGTTTTCTATTTATACAAGCAACAAGACACTAATGTTTTTCGTGCCAGCTACTTACATCTTTGATCTTGCACTTCTAGCTTCATTTATTATTTTCTGGGTATAGGCTTTAGGATTTTTCACATAGAGTTTTGGCAAATTTCAGATATTATTAATATTACCAATACAATCTTTTGGTACTGATCCGCATTGTATTGAAAAGGTAGCAAAAAGGACAGGACTTGATTTAGCAATAGGAAAATGCATCTGATTTCTCCTTGTGATGATAAATGCCATACAATGTGTTGGAACCTTGTAGCATTGAGATTGCCTTGTGAGCAAGGTTTAAAAAATCGTTACGTATCGGTCCGTATTGGCCGATACGTATCGTATCAGGAGCACCCCGATACGCCTCTACAGAGGGTGTATCGGGGTTTTGACTGGTTCAGGGGGTGGAGGAACCTTAAACCCCTGAACCGGATTTGAAAAAAAAGTTAAAAAAATAAAAAAAAACAGTACCGATACTCAAGGTTCAAAGTATTGATACGATACGAGTTTCGGTCGTATCGTATCGGTACTTAGAAACGGCTGATACATACTTTTTTTTTTAGTTTTTTTTTCAAAGTTTAGTTTTTTGGGAAGCTTATAAGATATTTTTTATTATTAAAAAAAATTGGGGGTCTGAAACACCTAGAAACAGGCATTTCGGACCGTATCTTTTTCAAAAGATACAATACGATACGCCCCGTATCGGGCGTATCGTATCGATACTTTGAACCATGCCGATACTGCACGATACGCCCATACTGGCGTATCGGGCGTATCAATATTTAGAACCTTGCTTGTGAGGTATTTTGCATTCTTGAACCTTTAATGGTACATGAAACTTGTTTTCCCATGCTACAAAAATGATAGAATGATATATGTTGGTGAGTTTCACATTCCCTCCCCTTTCTCTATGGATAATGGGGTGGGGCTGGGGTTATGTCGCTAGGTTGGTTCAATGGATCTCTGAGCCTGACCTGGATTTGGCTGGGAAAGGCCTAAGATTGAGGGAGTGTGGTGTATAAATGGTGGTTCACATTGGAAAGAATGGTATGCAATAGTATTTTGGGCATAACATAAATTCAAGAGATCATAAGAGATATCACTACAGTGAGGGTGGCCACTAGATACTCAGGGAGGAGTCTAGAAGATTTTCCACAGATGACACTGAAGAACTGGCATCTGGTAATCTCTTTATCAGTCTCAAAATCCATTCTTTTTTATCAGGAAAAAAGATTGATTCATTAATTAAAAATATACGGGATTAAGTACAATCTGATGACCTAATGTTGTCCCCAAGAACTACAGTCAGAATTAGAAAGGGGCCCAATATAGACACTGCCTTGCAACCCCTTGTTTGGCTAAAGTACCTGCTAACCCATTTTCACTCCTCCTGATCCACCTGAATACAGCATTTATATCCTTTTCTAATCTTTCCACTTCCCTGAAGATATGTTTAAGGGTCCATGGGATATGTCTGTTACATCTTGCCCAAGATATAACAACTTTTGAATCCCCTTCCACTTCCACCTGTCGAAAACCCAATTGCTTTGCCAACTGGAGCCCCTACAGTAAAGCCAGTACCCCTGCCTTTGTTGAATTTGTAATGCCAATTGACCCTAAATATAGAGCCAATATCTTACATTCCACATTCCTGATTGCTCCACCTATTCCTGCCAATCCCAGGTTGCCCACAGAGCTTCCATCAAAATTCAATTTTACTTTGCTAACCTCTAGCAGTTTCCACTTAAATCTTAGAATTTCCTTTTCTCTAGAGGACTGTGCTATTTCCTTCCATGCCCTTAGGATGTTAGTTACTGAGAAAAGTTGAAAACCGTCTAGGGTTTTTATCCACAATGCAAGCCTCACTTTTATGCTGTCAATTACCTCTTCCAAAGTTCTACTTTTTTTAGCAAAAAATCTGTTATTTCTTTCCTCCCACACTCCCCAAGCAACAACTGCCTTTTCAGATCTCAACATTATTCTCCCTCTCTTCTTTTGTTGCCTCAAGAAGTTAGGATTGAAAACGTCTGTCACCTCTTGGGGAGGGTCCCACCTGCAGCCAAAGAGAGAACAGAAAAATTCCCAAATACGAAACACCAAGGAGCAGGAGATCAATAAGTGGGAGAGGGACTCTCCAATATCTCTACAAAGAATACACATATAAGGAGAGGCAGGTGGAAAGCCTCCTTTTCTGTAGCAAATCACATGTATTTACCCTACCAAGGAAAAGAGTCCAATAGAAAGCTTGAATTTTTGGTGGGATAGGCTTTCTCCATATTTCTTTCACTAGGAGAACCACCTTTTCGGAGCCAATAAATGTAAGATGTCTGAAGAAAGAGGAGCAAGTGAAGAGCCCATTTGGGGAAATTACCCAAAACCTATAATCCTCCAAGTTTGGGTCTAAGAAAACTGTCTAGAAGGTTCCAGGAAAATTGTCAGGGAATTGATCTTTTAGTGGTGACTCCCCTACTACCCAGAGGTCTTCCCAGAAGCGGATTCTATCCCCTTTTCCCACACCATAATAGATGAAACTAATAAACATAGGGTAAACTTCGTGAATAATTTTCCAAGGAGAGGCTGAAGTTAAGTGATAAGCCAATTTAGCATCCCAACCATTACAATCTAGACCATGAATGCTTGCAATTACTTTGTGCCACAACCCATCTCTTTCAAAGGAAAATCTCCACAACCATTTACCCAACAAGGTAGTGTTCCTATGAGCAATGTTTCCTAACCCTAGACGCCCTTGCTCTTTTAGCTTACTAACTTGTTTCCACTTAACTAAATGTTCCTTTTTTTCCCTCCCTTGGTTCCCATAAGAAATCCCTCATGTACTACTCTAGTTGTCTTGCTATCCTTGCCAGGATGCGAAAGGTGGAAAGGAAGTAAATGGGTAGATTTGCTAGCGTGGCCCTAATCAAAGCGATTCTTCCCCCTAAGGATATATAATTTCTCTTTTAGGAGGCTAATTTCTTTGCAAATCTCTCAACCATTAGCTTCTAGAATCCCTCTGCCCTCTGCCCTCGGGTCCCCACCCCCCCTCCACAATGTTTCCTGAAACTGAATTTTGATGGGAGTAGTCAGGGCAACCCAGGGCCCTCTGGGTTGGGAGGAGTTCTGAGAAATGAGGTTGATTTCCAAGAAGATACTTGCTTTCCCTTAGTTGCATTGTTACAATCAGCTTCAACAAGGGAGATAAGTTCTTTTCTGCTTCACAAATCCCAATCCATGATGCAGCTAATCTTAGAGGCCACGACATATTCCCTTTCCAATTATCTTAAGACTTATTTAATACTGGGTTGCATCATATGGCTAAAAGAATACCCATCAAAATTCAGCAAAAAATAACTTTGGTAAGAAGTGGTTTACAATGAGAGGACCAAACCATCAATATCTCTCTCCAAAGGTCTTTAGGAGACAAAACCCTTTGATAAATCACAGAACTTTACAGCGAACTCTACCCTGCAACAAGGTCATTTTGATAAACAATAGGGCCCCAATGATTAAATAATGTTGAAACTTCAAGCCAAGGAACTCCTTGGCTTTCCGGTTTCCCACATAAAGCCTCTGGTGAGGACTTATTGTCTTCAAAAGTCTTTCAAACCAAGGAACATTTTGTTTTGTTAAGGATGCAATATTTTTAGTGCTTGTGTCATATGTAACATGTTTTTCTGTGTCACTTCATTATTAATTAAAAGGAAAAAGAAAAATAAAACGTAATATACAGGAAAAGAGCATCGGACTGCTACATGCATTATTTATGCCTATCATTCTTTTGATCTAACAGCAAATGCTTAATTTTGCTTATGCTCCCTAAAGCTAGCCTATAAAAGTAAAATGCCATTCTGAAAATTATATAAACATATAACAATAAATGACATTCATAGTTAGTCATTTAATATGGTTTATACCTTAATATTTAAATTCAATAGACTTATGCTTGCTGCAAGGACCAAGATTCTTAGTTAAAGCGAAACCAGTGGTTGCAGACCTGCACTTCTCTGTTTTTTGTCTAGAATGCCAAAACTAATGTGGTCCATTTTTTAATTTTCTGATTTTCTTCTTTCATATTGTAGATATTGCTCCCTAGTCATTTGCCAATAAAATAGGTCACATTTGTTTTTTCAAGTTTAGTGAGAATTAATGACTGATTTATGGTGTTGCCATGTTTTGTTAAAGCTGGACAGGAAAGATTCAGAACATTAACAAGCTCGTATTATAGAGGTGCACAAGGGATCATTCTTGGTATGCCATTTCTAACTTAAACCTATCAAGTTATTTTCTTTCCTTGTAATCATGCTCTAGGTAAATGTTATTTGTATTTAGCAATGATTAGTACTTACTACTACAGATTAGTCTTCTGTCAACCATTAATGTGTCTGAAATAGCAAATCTAGAAGCAATCTCTCTTGTTCTCATCTTAGATTGGATAATAGTCATGTTTTTAACAAAATTGGTAGCACTGGCATGTATAGAGCTGTCTTATATTAATTATTAAAATAAGAAAATCATGCTAGAATTGGAAATCCCATATTAAGCTAATGGGTTCACCAAAAACTGTTGAGATTTGGTGGAGCACATAGGTTCTTCAAACAATTGCAGATATCGTCTTTCATCAAAATTCGTTGCATGGTATCCTGTATAATGCTGGCCTGCTGCTCATCATTGCATTGTTAGGATTATGATGTGGACGCCGGCAGCAGCAGCAGTAATTTAGTGCAGCAGCAGCAGTAATTTAGTGTTCTCAGCAGCAGCAATTTAGTGTTCTCATCCTATCTTATCTATTCAGTATTCTTGCCTTATCTGCTTTCAGTAGGGATTAGTAGGAGTCTTATCTATTCAGTGTTCTGATCTTATTAGTTCAGTAGTATGGATTAGTAGGGAGTCTTATCTTATCTTATCAGTTCAGTAGGATAGATTAAGGGAGTCTTATCTTATCTTATTAGTTCAGTCTTATCTTATCTTATCAGTTCAGTAGAATAGATTAAGGGAGTCTTATCTTATCTTATCAGTTCAGTAGGATAGATTAGTAGGRAGTCTTCCTAAAAGTAGGACTCTTATCTCTTGTAATCTCCTATTTAAGGAGCTGATTTTATTCAATAAAGGTATCGAAAATTTCAGTCAAGAAAGAGAGCAAAGGAGAGTTGGTGATCTCTTGAACAAATCACCTTTAGGGTGGCAAGATAGGTTCTTCAAGAAAAGGGAGGAACAAGGGAAAACAGGAGGCTTTCCCCGTGGACCGACCCGTGACGAGATCCTATTCTCGGGCCCATAACAGATTACCTAGTTTAAATTTTAGTTCTCTGGACAACAGTGAATATTGTTATCCCTTTGATCTTCTAGGGGTCACCAGAAAGCATCATGCTCTGGGTTGTTTCTCATATCCATTCCCATAATTTTTTTTTCATTGATAGCATACGATCATATAAAAGATCAAAGAAGTATGTATGAAGTATCCAAGTGCATGTAAGGTTAAATAAATGTAAGATATTCTCTAAAAGAAAGCATAGATGTCCCGGACCCCTGGCACGTTTTGTTAGTTGGGGAATCCCATATGATAGACAGAATAGTTTTGGAATTGTCTTACTATTAGATAAAGATATGAATATACAGAGTTATTGTCTTGAACTTATATTTTTTTAATAAACTTTTCTGGAACTTATGATATGTCAGTGTTTTAAACTTTTAATGGGATTGCTTCAGGCACACTTAGGCCCACAGACAAGGCTCATCTTGTGGGGTGTGCCTCACTTGAAACTCGGTGCACCTCATTTAGCTTGTTGCTGTGTTTTGATGTATTAACTTTGAATCTGGTGTTGAATATGCATTTTACTATATTATAGGTTGTACTTATGATTTACAGTTTAAACAGTTTAGCCCGTGTAGGACCTGAATGTACAAGGCAATAACCGTTCTGTTAATAGTGACATGAGACTAACCATTTGAGCTAAAAGATTTTTTATATATTTTATTTCTTTCAGAATTTATATTTTCATATATTTTTATTATTAATTTTTTATTCTTTTCCCCCAAAAGTGGTGCCTCACTTTGGTCAGGCATGTACCTCACTTTGTGCCTTGCACCTCAGGCTATAGGAGCCCCTTGCATTTTAATTGTGCATCTTACTTTTATAACATTTGCATGCATATAGAGTAGATTTTTATTTTGATAAGTAACTGATAAATTTTATTAAAAATCAAACAGAGAATTCAAAAATACAGTACACACACGAGAACAAGAGGCTCCCATCCAACTGGAGCTCCAAATAAGAGAAAAACCAGAACAAGATAAATAAAACTGATACAGATTACAAACTAGAACCCAGCCCTGGGCATCCCCATTCCACATGGTCCTTTAAAACTCCTGCTTTTGCCAATGCATATAGAGTAGAATTTCCTGGGAGTGATCAGATTAAGTATATAGAGTAGAAGTTTGGTGTGCCGTACTTTCTTGGAGCATTCTTTATCTCTTTTTCTTGGATAGCTTACTGTGTTTCTTCCCTGTTGTTTGATGAACAGAAAATGACTGATTTTTAATTTACTTCTTATTTTAGTTTATGATGTGACACGGCGAGAAACCTTTACAAACTTGTCCGATGTATGGGAAAAGGAGATAGAGATGTACTCCACCAATCAGGATTGTATAAAGGTGCTTGTTGGGAATAAAGTTGACAGGGTAAACTCTATGCCATTTATTTGTTCTTTACCACCTTTAAGTTCCTTTTCTTGATGTTAGCTTGTGCTTAGTGAAATGACAAAGGGATTTCTTGTAAAACCATTTGAAGACTCTTTCCTGATGGACCTTACTGCTCACTGATGTGGGCTGAATCTTTGTATTTTTTTTTTTTTTTATCCTTAATGACATTACTGACACTCTAGCTAGGGAGGGAGTGCACCAAGCCTGGGACTTAAGCCACAGGGTTGAATGTACTTGTTACCTTGTTTTTCTTATGCTTGTTTGGACAGGTTAGTACTGTATTTTTGTGACCTGGATTTTCTGTCAAAGTATAGTTGTTTCCCATCTTTGACCTTTAATGAAATTCTTTGTTGTTATCGAGTTTTTTTAATAGATAACTGGAAAGTTTTATTGATTTGTGGATAAAGATAGTGGATATGTACAGAAGTGGTTATGCCAAAGCACCCCACAGTTACAATGGGAAGCTAAAGTTCCCTCCCCAGAATACCTTTTCCTTTAGTTATTAATAAAAAAGTGGCTTACAGTGTTACAATGGTGGTTTATTTTCTATTGTTCTTCTCCACTTACTCTTAAAACTTCTGAAAATCTGAAGATTTGCACTCTCTGGCTACCAAGCCAATTACTGTGGTAAAAATAAAAAATAAAAGGACATTACCCAATGTTTGTCCCAGCTATTTGGGATCTTGGGAGGGGTGTGCTGGATACAGACCTAAGCTTTGGCATTTTTCTTTGCACGATGTGCCTAATCTCAGACTCAAACTTGTGTTCTCATACTCAAAGTTCAAAGTATTGATATGATATTGTATCTATACTTTGTCTTTATTAACCTGTCAAATCAAAACAATAAGAAGAAATGAGAGAATTGTTAGTTCAAAACTTTTGATGTGTGGTTTTCACATATGGAAAGTATTGATACCTTGAACCATGCTTGTCAGCCCAAGATTTTATCATTACACCAAGCAATGGCCCCTTGTGGTAAAAATGATAGTAAAAGTGAAAATTTTGAGGTCAGTGGTTGTTTCAATTTGCATATATAAATTATATTCAATCTTATGGTTTGCAAGGCAGTAAGTTAGTGCTTTGCAGCCTAGTCATGATCTTTAACAAAGTAGACCTTGAATTTTCAGTACATGTTGCATGTTACATGGAACATGTCCTGCTTTCCTATTACTTTATATTGAAAAGGAAGAAAACGGAAATAATCATATATTTCATGTATAAATGAACATTAAATCATTGAGTCTGACTATGATACTGAAATGGCATGATGGCTAAAAAGCTGATAACTAATCGACCAGAATCATAGAAATAGTAACCAATCAACTGGTATTCATCAAAATTCAACAGGGAGAGGGGTTCTGATTGGTCAAACTTCTTCTGGTATCATACCCTTCTGGCATCATAGGAATTGCCTAAATCGTTCCTTAATGGTAACAACACATTGAATCATAAATTTCCATAAAGCATTGTCCATTAAATTGTGCATTTCCATATAACAAGATCAGTTGAAGTCTTGAATAGTGCATTTGCATGAAGCAAATCGTGAGTATTACAGAAAGAATCAAAGAAGCATGAAAACAACTGGGACATATCCCATTCTATCTTTTTTGATCAGTGCATTGCCCTTTTGTCTTACCAACGTAAACTGAGCCCCTGTGCTCGAAGACGAAGAAAGCTAATGCAAATTTATCTAGCTGGCTTGATCAGTTGCCAAGTGTAATGAACATCTTCCTATTCTTCTTCCTCTTCCTCCTGTTTTCTCTGAAACCTTGCTGTGGCTTTCTTCTTGTAATTGCAGAATCCTCTTTACACCTTAATCATTTTATGTGTAAAATGAAATGGTGTAGTTCACATCCAAGATTAATATTCTCTCTTTTAAAACCATCAGGGTAGGGTATCACCTTGCCTCCTGAAAGAATGCCTTGCCGTGGTATGTTGTTAACTATACTCTCCTCCAGCTCTATAGAGATCACATGCCTTCCCTAAACAAAATTCCATGTGTTCTGTTATGAGAAAGTTTTTTAGACCAAACATATGGGGAGAAGTACAATAAAGATTGGATGCAGTGATGCATCAGAAAGAAACAGTGAAATCCAAAAAAGCACTTTTGGGAAGACTATTCAGCAGTCACACCCCCCCCCCTAAAACTTACACCCATCGTCCCATACCCTACACAGGAAGACCAGGCTTCAGTACAACTCCTCTTACCTCTGGCTAGTGAACTCATTGGCTGATCTATGGATCCAGTGGAATGAGATGCTACCTGCAATATTAAAGATTATTATCCTCTTAAAGAAAATGTCTGACATCCAATGCCCTGTACCTCTTGATGGAAATGGCTGAGATCCCATGGCCCTGAGGATCCTTCTTCACTTGCATTCAAGTGAGCCTAATGCATCCCACGGTTTGGAGCTCATTGAGCAGGAATAAAATCTCCATTACAGCTACAATTTCTCTCTTCTTTCCTGGACCAGAAGGTCCTTTGTTTCCCATAGAACACCCATCAAAGGACTGCAGTTTGGGGGGAGGGGGGGGAGTAGTTCAAGTATTTGTCCCCTATTTGTCTATTTCTTTGTTGTTAGATTATCCAGTCATGTGATTCTTTAGCCAATGGAGGATCTTGTGGAGCTAAGTGTTTTTTAATGCTTCTGACGTTTGTACTGATAACAAAATCATTACCACCATCATCATTTTAAGCCTTATCCCGACTATATGGGATTGGCTACATGAATCCTGTTTCGCCATTCCATTCAGTTCAATGCCTATCCATTGGTACTGATAAAAAATGCTTCTGAAATTTGTGATACAGACACATGGGCATGCACAAGTATCTATTTATTTAATCTGTTACATTTGATTGCAGTTTACTAGTGGAGGTTTGATTTTTTCTTAGAAGTGGTACAATGTTTTCAGGAAAGTGAAAGGGCTGTAACTAGAGAGGAGGGAATTGCTCTTGCACAAGATTATGGATGTCTATTTCTTGAATGTAGTGCAAAAACTCGAGAAAATGTGGAAAAATGCTTTGAAGAACTTGCTTTAAAGGTAAATCTCTCAAAATACATTCTTTCTTTTCAACCAGCCAGAATGTTAGATTTAGTGTGATTTCGGGAGTCATGCCAATTAGTAACCCCCCCCCCCCCCCATGTGGTTGGTGATGCTCAAGGTAATTAATCTAGTAAGAGTAGTTATTTTACTTTGATTCAGAAGATGTTCTTTTACTGTTTGTAGAGATATGGAATGATTATAGAATAACACATCCAAGTGACATAATTTTAGTTGTATTTGGGAGATGATGTGGTGATGTTGGACAAGGTAGTGGTCCTACAAATTTCAGTGGTTGGCTTTGCGAGTGAAGGAGGAGCTTTGGTGATTAAGGATCATGGATGGAGAAACAAGTAGAGAGCTTGCTGTCACAGTAAACAGCAAATAGATAGATCACTCAGAGGAAGAAATAATTGAGAGGGAAAAAAATCTGGCAACAACCAGGAGTCACTAAACCAAACTTATTTCATCAACCAACTCTATTTTTCTTTTCTTTTTCAATTACAATGACTCTATCAATAGACTCACCATAAGAACTTTGAGTCCTTTGACAGACTCCAACTTGGACTAGGAAACTGACCCAAGGTAACCCATAGGGGCACTCCATTAAGAACTCTAGTTCCTAAAAAAACACCAATTGTATAACACTTAACCAATTCTGCAAAAAACTAGCTTAATGATTGTAACTCATGATTTTACTATAAACAGTAACTATGAGAACTATTATAAATATAAGTCCAAAATTACCATAAATAGCCATTCCAAAATAACAGTAAATTTCTGGGAATCTTAAAACTCCATTCCTAAGTCACCTATAAGTAGAAAATAAATTTAAAAACTTAGAAATACAAAAATCCTTGTCAGCCAAAACTTCTGAAATTGGTATAAGTTAAAAATACTCTAAAAAATAACATGAGCATATAATAATAAATCGGATGTCAACTACTGATAAAAAAATCAACCAACCTGTCAGGATTGGTGTAATATGGCAGAGCATGCCATGGATTGGCCTTAATATGAATTGTCAATTGGTGCAGGTGGTTTATGGAAGCAGCTTGTGTTGGGTTTTTGGAGCATCTCCTTGAGGTGCTAGACTCGTGGCTGAACCCCTGTAAATCCTGGACTCAGTGATGTGCTTTAGGTTGACCGATCAATTTGGCTGATCAAACTTTGGTATAAGCAAAAGGGGAACACCCTAAACAGTGTGCTAAGTTGGGGGTTTTCTTTAGTCAAATGTGCAGGAAAGTGAATTTTGAAACTTAATGGTTTGGTTTGACTTTGGATATAGGTGTAGATTCCAAGCATTATGCTATCCATGTGCATCTGGATTTCATGGATTGTGCACATGCAGTTTACCTTGGAGTGAGGTGTACTTTGACCATCTGACCTGTATGTCAGGGGCCTCAGGGCATACTGCTGCATACTGAAGCCTGACAGTTGCTACTCGCTAATTGTGTATCTAAGAGGATTATGAAGAAAATGGTTTAAACAGTTAAAACCTTCAAAGATACTGATAGGGCTTCGAAAGTTCAGCTTTGATGAGAAACAATGTTTCTGTGTAATGACAGTTAAGTTATCATAATAAGCCGGGTTGTTATTTTAGTAGTTTTCACCAGGCAAAAGGGATAAAAGAAGTCCACAGATTTACGACAAAGTTATGAATACCTTAGTAGTTTATATATTATTTTCCTAAATGAAGTTTATTTCGTAAGTTTGTTGCCCTATGCGTTCTGACCATTTTGGATTCTTTTTGCAGATACTGGAGGTTCCTAGTCTATTGGAAGAAGGATCTACTGTAGTAAAGAGAAATATTTTGAAACAAAAACAGGAGAATCAATCACCTCCTAAGGGTGGTTGTTGCTCTTGAAATGTTGAATGGTGAGGCCAATATTAAAGGCTCTCCTAGAAATCAAATTGGAGGTGCTGTAGCAGCAGTTGTAACACTAATTGATGGCCAGAACTTGCAACAATCTTCATGGTGAAATGATGTAAATTGTGATTTCTTTTCTTAAATCTTGCTGTTATTGTTGGTGGTGCTATTGTTGTTTTAGATTTTAATGTCTTCCTGGGTGTTATTTGGGTAATAGAACGCCAATCAGATCATGTAAAGAGAAAGTGACAATTGATTATGTAACAAATGAGTGTAATTTGTTTATTCTGATATGAGATGTATAAAGCATGAACCATTCCCCAAGGGGTAGCCGTCTTTATTCTTTTAACATTATAGTTGACTGGTACTGGTAGAATGATCTCCTTGGTTGCATTAATCACCAGATGTGTAAAAGTGGAGTTGGATGTGAACCATGACCATGAAAGTGCAGCGCTGGACAGACATGTTTCCCTTTGGTTATGAAAGGTGCCTGAGGAACCTAGTCGAGTGAAGGATTCACAGGAATACGAATTTAGAGAGCATTGAAATACCTTGAATTTTGCTTCAAAATTCAAGAGCACTGTTTATCCGTGACCAGGGGTTTATCTGAAGGTAAGTCAGAAAGGTAATAATTTTCTCAGTTGATAAAAGGAATATATATGCTCTCCCGGAATGAGCATTGAGAAATAATGCTCTCCATTGAACAAGATGTTCTAAACCAAAGATCCAGCTCTGTTAAATCGATGGGCAACCTTTAGAGAGCATGGTTAGGATAGTCCACTGTGGATACAGCATACTCCCTAACATGGTTAGGATAGTCTAGTGGATGAATCCTCCTGTTAAGGCATTATCACAGATTCAATCAATAAACATGGTGAGAAAAGCATCAAACGTTGATTGTGAAGTCAGTCTACATGACAGTGATACAAATAAGTGGTTTCCACGCACATCGGAAACATCACCCATGAATGATAAATTGACAACAGATAAATAGTAGAGATAGAAATAGAACAGCAACCTGTCATGAGGGGAGGGTTTTGCTTCTAAAAGGGTGACATGAGACTTTTTATGGGCATTTTCGAAAAAAAAAAAAAATCTCAAATGGCTATTATATTACAAACATTCCTAAATGGAAAGTGCATTAAGTAAAGCGGTTGCAAAGTAGAGGGGGATGTCTTAGTGTAAGAGCATAGACACAACACTATCGCTAGACTTGAATGGGCATGTGACAGGCATTTCATACGGGATAGATGTGCGAAATGATAATCTCAAACTTCTTGTCTAGAGTCTGGATGCAAAAGCAAAACGGACTTTGCATCTGATAGAATGCATGGTTTTTAAAACCGACCCAGATACCGAACTGGTCGGGGTCCGGTTACCGGGTCAAAGGTCTGATCGTTCGAACCGAATGCTCGGCCCATTCTGACAAAAAAAAAAAAAAAACGGTCAATTGCCCGGTTCAGCGGTTCACTGACCAAAATCAATGGTTTTGGGGAAAACGAAATCAGTCACCTGACAGGTTCCCGGTTTTTCTGATCCCACTGTCCAGTCCAGTCTGGTTTTGAAAACCATGACCTTATAAAAAAGGATTTTCTGAATGTATGTAGCATTTTCCAAACATGGGTCATGGTTACAGGAGAGGAATTCTATGAAGGGAATATATGCTACTCTTGAAAATTTCGCCCCAGGAGAGGAAATCCAATACATAAAATAACTTACTAACAGTCACAGAAAAGGGGACAGATATCCCCGTTGCAAAGATTTACATAAACATATTAAAGCATCATTTGGTTGTGCATAAAACAAAATAAAACGAAAAGTGCCCAACTCACTTAATTCAGTTCTCATGATCTCATCTTCACCAGGGGTTTGGTGCCCGGGGGGGGGGGGGGNGGGGTTGGTTCTGTCCTTGCGCAAAGTGAAGAACATTTCCTTTTAAGCAACTCCAAACTACCGTGGATAATTGCCGGTTGTAAATGGAAAAGAAAACAATCAGACGTCTAGAGTCTAGAAGACGTCCACTTGAGTAAAATTAGATGCTAGAGAGCATCAGTGACAAGTGACAACCCACAAAAAATAACAAAAAAAAAAAAAAATCCAGTAAAACGTCATTTAGAAAGGCATGTTAGTTTGCCATCTGCGGAGGCCTGGAAAACAAGTATACCAGGTTTTAGTTCTAAATACCGTACAATTTTAAAAGTCAAATCTATTAGCCTTGCAAGCAGAATGTCAATGTCCAAAATGAAGCATCCAGTAATGGATCAACGAGGGAAGCAACCTAGTTTTATCTTTCTAATATCAGTGGAGGATTAACAGACAAGTGAAGCAAACCACCACACCACCTGAACAAGGGATTTTTGGAAACAGTAAAAGATGGGTGGATTTTTGTTCATCTACGACTAAAATCGATCAGCATTCACAACCAAATATAAGCACATTACATATGAGACGATCTACTTAAGATTGTTGGAACTAGCAACTCCAAAGCCTATAAAAGCATTCAAAGGAAACTTTCTACAGATTGAGGGAGAAATTACAACACCCAGTAGCTTAATAAAGTAAACTTTAAGAGCAAAAGCTGCCACCAGAAACGCCTTGGAGAAACGGTAACTGATTCCCCACTCCCCAGGGTTATAATAAAACTAATACTGGACATGAGAAATCGAGAGCTACGTTTATACGACTTCAGGAACCACAGCAAGCTGATTTCTCCGGGGTAGTACTTGCACCCTTAGATTGGTCCGGTTTACTGATCTTAATCGTCTGGGGCTGCACAATGCAAGAGAACTCAAAATAAGGGCATTATTTCCAATTTAGATCCCATTCAAATTAATTCCAGAAGGCAAAAATTCACCTCTGCTTTGGAGTCGCTCTCTGCAAGTCTTTGCTTTATGTCTCTAGCAATAGAAAAGAAGACCTGCTCCACGTTGAAGTTTGTTTTTGCACTCTGCATAGAGGGATTTCGACAGGTTAGTAAATAAAGAGGGTGTTTGGCGCATCTTCTCCATGCATCTTTGGGTCCTGTCCCTGGGCTACATGTGATGTTCACTTACCGTCTCAAAGAACTTGATACCGTATTCATCAGCTAGCGCTTGGCCCCGCGATGTCGGCACAGCCTACCAAATAAATTAGTTTAAGTTTGTGATCACATACCAACGAGGAAGTACAATGGACCTGAGCTTAGTTATTACCCTCTTGCTCTCATCCATGTCAGCCTTGTTGCCAACCAATATCTTGTTAACATTATCAGATGCATGTTGTTCAATATTCCGGATCCAATTCCTAATGTCTACACAAGTCTTTTATCAAGGAATACAAATATGGAAAGATAAGCGCATTGCTACTTTTTTTTGTGAATCCTACCCATAAGCTCAAGAAAAGAAAAGGACTGAGCAAAGAAGAAAATAAGTGGATACTGTTAAAAGATGACTCGTCCGTAACATCATAGACCAACAATATGCCCATGGCTCCCCTGTAATAAGCTACACAACAAACAGTAAACTGAATAAAATATGTCAAAACGAAAGAAACTGATGTCTAGTAATTCAGGCACAATTTAGCAAGGTATCCTTGGGGTAGAACCCAAGGAGAGTCTACCAAATACCAATAGAAAATATGCAAATTGAGGAAAAGAATAATGCAAGTTTTGCAATGCAAAATCCACTGAAAACCAACAGGTGACCTAATTCAAAATCCAGCCTCAACGGATAAACTTGCACATTGGTCACTCTTCCTTTCTGGAGACTCCTCCAAGGAATGTGAGGACAAATGGTGATCATCCCACAATGTGGATTTTTATTTGTTTTTCTTTTCTAGTAGAAGTTCTAATTTTAATTTCTACATAAGGGACTGATGTGGTCCATTTTGAAACTTTCTTTTCCAACATACGTTTTATCAAAGACTTCAGAAAAACCATCTCGAAGCTTCAAGCCCATAGGCACCTGGTATCTCTACTTCTTGGAAATATCCCCATAACTTTGTGCACCTAAGATTTTTTTAATAGTTAATTAAGAACTTTATCAAAAGGAAAAAAAAGGAGATACAAGCACTATGCCAGCTCTATGACCTAAGCAAAAATCAACAGCCTGTGCCCCATAACACTTTTTGCACCTATGTATGAGCTATAGGAATAGGAAAGTGAGATGAAAGCTCTGGCAGATGGTCTAGCTAGACAAGGGGTGAACAGACATTCTATTTTCTGGGTTGTCTTGTAACTTTTGTTCTTTTGATGTTTAATGGTTGTTCTTGGGAGCTAAGATTGTTCAGCACCCTTGCCCTGCAATTTTCTCATATTTTTAATATTAATTCAATCCACAGTTATTGATAAAAAAAAAAAAAGTGAGATGAAAGCTCGCTAATGGATCACTATTTTCTAGACTTTAAGAAAAATCTTGTGTAATGGCTACCTGTTGTAATTGTTCGGAAACGCTCCTGACCAGCTGTATCCCATATTTGCAGTTTGATGCGCTTTCCATCAAGTTCAATGGTCCTAATCTTGAAGTCAATCCTAGCAAAGGCATTATTCCAACTTAAGCATGCTAAATGAAATTATGAAATGATTATAAACATTCCCCAAGGGCTTCAAGTAGACAAGTACACACCCTATTGTGGTAATAAAACTTGTAGTAAAAGAATCATCTGAGAAGCGCAATAGCAAACAACTCTTTCCAACCCCTGCAAAGATGGATTAAAGTGGTGCATAATATTAGGATCATAATTTATCAAAAAGGAAGATGCCCAAACAAATGGAAAAGCTATGAAACATACACATAGAGAAATACACATTTATGATGCCAACATCATAAGAAAAGAAATGGAGAACTCAAGTACTCAACACACTGAAGAGATGAGACTGAAGGTATAGCATAGGATCAAGGAACCACTTGTTTTGGAAAGTAAAAGCATCTAAACTAGTTCTAATCAATGAATGTTGTCAGAATTAATGATTGTTATGAGGCAAATTGATCCACATTACTGGAGCCATGGGCAAGGTGTTTGACACAATTTACACTAATAATTTATTGTTAAGCTTCACTAGGAAGATCAGAGCCACAAAGGATGATGTATTACTTTATCAATAAAAAAAATCAGTACATTAGAGATAAAGAGAGAGAAATGACGTGTTGGATCATGGATCACCAGTTTATCTCTTCAAACAGTATTGATCTTGTCTTTTACCTTAGTTACACGCTTTGTAGGCTGTTTCAACTCACTCATATTTGACAATGCATGTGTCAACATCGGAAATGGATGCAAGGTGTTTGTCAAAGTGACTGGAAAATTTAAGTGCTAACATGTTTATCAGAGTGCTACACTATTCAGAGATACAAGATTAGAAAGGTAACCTGCATGACCAGAACTTCAAAAGCTTTACTCACACCTTAATACACAGAGATATCCAAAATACAGTATGCTTAAGGAAAGATATAAGCTTAAAGTGCATTATTAGAGGGCAGGTGAATCATGGATTGCTTCCATAAATGAGCCATAGCCATGCAGAGTGCAGACTTATATCAAATTTGCATCAGTATCCTATGTGCTATATAGTCTTTTATATTAACATTTTTTTTATCAATGGTCTTTTATATTAACATTTCCACTGAAAACAAAAGCTAGGCAGGTAAAGAGCTGTTTCCATACATAAAGGCCTTCTATTATAGCTCTAGCTAACCCACCTGCACCAAATTGAGCTCTTTTAGAAATCATATAATAGTGGCCAAGATGGTATCATAGGATTCCCTTATTTCTTGAAGGAATTGGGCTAGGTGCCAAGGACTCCTAGAATCACAAATTTGGTTCTGATCTTCATGATTCAGAGTCACAAGGCATATGGGAAGTAAACAGATCATATGGAAGGCCATTCTGGTAAAAACAAAAATGTCCAAAGGGTTCAACATGTTCATAGCATTCAAGGTCGTAAGGAGGGACTAAATTAAATTTTGGAATCATGGTGGGGTGGACAAACTAGACAGAGAGGGGATGACTAGGAAAATCCCATTTACTGGGGTCACCCCAGCTCAGAGCCTCAGATCAAATCACTTCCATGCTACTCTTTGTACCGGAATTCAACATGTAGCCAGTTTATGTTTGTGTTTGTTCACCTTGGCACCTCTTACTTGAAGGGGGAAAAAGTTGTATGCTCTCCTTGTTCTTCATATTAATACATCTTATTGATCTTGTTAGTCATCCCAAAAGAAAAAGGTTCAGTCTGGTGGAAGACCCTTTTGGCCCTTGTTATTTAGCTTCCCCAGTACATGCATGTTTGTACTTAATGCAACAGGGTTTACTACTTATACACTAGAGGTGAATGATGATAAAATCATGTTTGACTTGAAAGTCAACAAAGTCGCATATACTCTAATCCACATATGATGGAATATAAACTCCATAACATCTCTAAATAAGTCTTAAATAATCTGAATAAATTTTCTACTTAGGATTTTAAAACAAAAGCCTCTTAAAAATTTAAAACAAGCCAATGAAAGATAAAATAGAAAAGCAGGTCTCAATAAATTGACTCAAATAACATAATTTATATAAATTGCAAGATCCATGAATTGGATCATAAAACTTAGACAACCATCATAGATTCTTTCTAGGAAAGGATACAGATATTTCTGATTGTGAATTATACTATAAATCAGAATATTTTTGAGAACTATGTTTACTAGTGGATGACCAACAATATGATCAGGTTCCATGGTTGAGGACTGTCAATGATCTGCTAAGTTGGCTTCCTTGTCCCTTCTTTATCCTTAAATTGGGCTTCCCCATCAAATTACAGGGAAGGTCAGAGGTGAAGACTGATCATAAAAGTTTCCCCGTGTGCGGTGTGTCATATTCTTGTGATGGAATCTTTTGCTCATATTTAAAGGAAAGATATGGTTCACTGCTAGGCTCCTCTGGAGTACTCAGATTCCAACAAATGACCCATCTTCATGTGGACCGAATTTTGTCAGTGTCCCAATTCAGGTAAGTTCTACATCTAGAAAGGAAGAGTGAAGAGCCAATTTCCCATCTAATTTTCTGTTGCTCTATTACTCTCAATATATGATCTCATTTTCTTGGGACATCTTGGGATAAATTGGCTCATTCCAAACAGGTCTGGACTTGAGCTTGAACTATTCATGCATGGTTATAGTTTGAGAGGTGGTATTTTTTGGAAGACTTTTGGCTTTGCACTTTGTTGCACTGGATAGAATCTACGAAGTAAAACTGGCTAAATTTTTAGAGTAAGAGGTCAAGAACTGCATAGTGGAAGCCGTTAAAGCCAAAATACTTGGTTTATTGTATTTATGGTCTTCTATTTTGGAACAGTTTAAAGGTTTTTTGGCCTTTTGGGACCTCAGAGTTAAATGAAATATCTTTTATCCATATACTCATTGGTCTTTTTTGTACAACTAAGTTCATATATGATATACTCACAAATCGCCCCTATATGACGTGAACACGAACTTGCTTTATATGGTAAATTAGATTAATTACTATCGCATTCGACCAATACATTCAACACTTCTTAAATGTTAATCCTAAAAACCTTTTAGAGCTTCGAATAGGTAGTAATATTAGACCATCTCAAGTCGTCAGAATAGTCCGAACATGCTGAGTGATAAACTAGAAAACTGAGCCCCTAGAATTACAAAAAAAAAAAAAACCGTATAAGAGTCGTAAAATTCAAGAATTCCCAAGCAAAACATCATGTGTTTGTGCTTTGTAGAATAGTAAATGATCCATGAAAGCCCTAAAAAGTTTCAACTATGCAAAACCAGAAAGCAAACAAGAAGAAGATATTCAATCTAGAACAACCATAAAGTCAAATCACGTAGGCGTAGGGATCATCATTAAATACGAAAAACTGAAGAAACAGAAAAACCCTAATTTTCCCTCATACGCCTTAGTAAGAGACGGAGGAAGAAACAAACCGCTGTCGCCGATGAGAAGAAGCTTTATGAGGTAATCATAATCGGCGCGAGCTCGTGCCGGAGCGGCTGCCATTTTTTCAGGTTTCGCTTTTCCCGGACTATCTTTTTTTTTTTTTTTTTTTTTAAATTACCAGAATTCTTTGGCTTTCGATTTTATATTTCTTCAGATCAGAAGCGTTTGTTGTGTTGGGTGTAAAATGGCGCGCCACTCTCTCTCTCTCTCCGAGATCGAGGAGGGTGGCCAAAAACAAATGAGATTGAGCGAGAAGAATCAAGCAAAGCAACAAAAGATCTCTCTCTCTCTCAAGTCTCGCTCTTCTCTGACTCTGAGTTCTCTCTGCTCTAACTTTCTATTACTCTAACAACTAACCATAGTTAAGCGCCCCTCCGATTTAAGTGCTGAGTGCTTACTTTTCGAAGTGCTCACTGCGGCACTGCGCCCAGCATCAGCTGGCCAATGAAAGGGTGTCTATGCTGCTCTGGGCGGCAAGCGTCTCTACACCGTAGTTGACATTAGGGGGGGCCATAACTTGCCACGTATTTCACTGAATGATTAGGACCCACCGAATTGGGATCTGCTTACGAGAAATATTCTTAATGCACGGTGGGATGTGCCTCTGAGCGCCAGTGTGAGTAACAGATCCGGTCTAGGACCCACCACTCAAAGTCAGATGAGAATCATGAGATCACATCTGCGCCCCACAAAGAAAGTTAAAAGGGCCCTACTAGGCCACGGATGTCAGGATGTGGATCCTGTGTCACTGGCCGCAGAGCCCAAAATTAAGTTAGACAACAGAAAAAATAATAACATAATAGGGGCATTCCGAGAATTGAACTCGGGACCTCTCGCACCCTAAGCGAGAATCATACCACTAGACCAAATGCCCATTTGATGAAATCATTCATGAATAAAAATGAATCCTTCTTTCTAAATTTCAAAGGTGTACTTTTATTATTTATTCAAACGATTTTACTCTTTCATAACCCAATGATTCCTAAAAATAGTGATTCTTATATTGTTAAAATAGTTGATGTGGCATGCATGTACATAGGTTCTTCTTCTTCTTCACTAATATAATAAAAATACCTTCTTCGTTGATGATAGTGAAAAATGTGAATATTTTTTTGGTATCGCCAGAGATTCTTCTATATTCGGTGAAGATGTATTGGACAACTCTTCGTTAGTGAGATAGTGCGGTAGTGCCATAGTGGCAACAAGTTTTTTTGTCAAATGGTTCTCCAACGCTATATTTTAGGTTAGGTTTTAAGAGAAAATCAGTAAATGGACAAGAAATGAACAAAGGAGGGAATGATTTTGCCCCATTTTCATTATTTTGGAAGTTTCATTTTACGCCCCTTAATTACAAAAAGGGCATTTTTGATAATTTAACATTTTCCATCAACCGACTTATTTTGTGTTTGGTTCTGTGAACATTTATGGATAGGCCGTTTATTTGTATTTTTTCACTTTAAACATTTATTTATACTTTTTTATTTTAAACGTTTTATGTTTTTGTTGTTTGATTGGACTTCATTTTAAATGTTTTTTACTCTCCACCTTAGATTAATACCTATTAAAATGTGTCACATCAGCATTTAGTTTTAAGAAATACTAGAGCATTGGAGCATTGGGGGAAACAAGAATTTGACGTTTCTCCAAATGCTCCATGCATAAAAATCAAAACGTTTCATGGCACTGATGTGACAGTTTCTTTTAATAAAGGCCCACAGAACCAAATATAGCCTTAATGGTTAGGGGATCTTTATCACAACGTAGATGAGGCATTTGTCATTGACCATAGTACCAGAGGGGATCTTTGTAATTTACCCTAATTTTTATTAATAACAATATTACTTCTTTCATCCTATCAAAATTTTAATTTCAATGTCTTTTAGAAAACCATAAAAACATCTATAGAACCACACATGACTAACAAGCATCCATGTCTCTACATCAGAATGCTTGTACAGATTCTGAATGCAAGCATTAAGCAATGGGTATATGACATCATAACTGAACCTTTTTTTTGATTGATATCACATTTGAACTTAGTAAACACATCCTAGATGCTACAAAAGATGATGATATGTAATGACTAAACTATGGGCTGAATTCTGAAATTTCAAATTAAAAAAATCCCTTAAAGCAAGGGTGTGTTGCCCAAGGATTAAAGTATCAGTATCGAGTATCGTATCAGACCACTCAGATACGAATACGCTTTAGATACAAACGAAAAATGTATGGATACGCCAAAAAATGCATATAATTTTCATAAACATATTAATAACATTATTTTTAAGATCAAAATAGCCATAATTAATGTATAGATACATAGAAAATGTATATTCTAAAGGTATATGTGAAGAAATATACTGCAATTAATATAGTGGGATGCATACGCCAAAAATGCATATAAATTCTATAAACATATTAATAACATTATTTTTAAGATCAAAATAACCATAATTAATGTATAGATACATAGAAAATGTATATTCTAAAGGTATATGTGAAGAAATATACTACAATTGATATAGGGATGCATAGAAATCATAAAATTTTATTGATATTGTATCAATCAAGAGTCCTGGAACATATATATATATATATTAAAAATTAATACATGCACAAAACTATTATTATGTTATTTTCTATTGAATTTCAAGGCAAGGCACAAAACATATGCAACTATAATATGTGAATTATTATGTCAATTATTTTCTACTTTACTATTTTTAATTTTTAATACTAACTAAAAATTAATTCTCAAATGTTTAGTTAACAATGTTTTTATCTTTGTAAACAATAAAAACGTTATTATAAAATGTAACTAATATATAAATTAAAAATTTATAATAATATATAATATTAACTTAAAATATATCAAATATATTAAATTTTCTAATATACACATCATATGCATATTCATAATTTTTAACTGCTAAAATAATTATTCCATTATTAATATTTTTGTTTCCATAAATTTTGAGATAAAAAATCATTTTTTTATATAAATGTAGATTAATGGATTTGACAAATTCAAATTATATTATATTCTCGAGGTTTTTGTAAATAATATATATACTTTTATTTAGTTCACATTAAAATATTAATTAATAATTTATAAAATTTTAAGATACATGTCATGTTAAAATTTATAAATATTAAGTACCAAAATAATTATTCTATTATTAATATCTTTTTTGTATAAATTTCTTGAGGTTAAACAATTTTTTTATAAAAATGTGGTTTTAAGAAATTATTTATTCTATTAGTTTATAAAATATTAGTTTTGAATATTATTTTTTTATTTTTCTGGAATTGTTCATAAATGTAATTTTTTTGTATTACATTTGGACAATAGGATATAAAGAAGTTATTTTATTTTATTGGATTATACAAGATTAGAGGTGGCTTAATGGTTTACACGTGCATTTAAGGTTTGGCGTTAGGTGGTTTGTGTTCCAATCACATATCGTATCGATATTTAAATCCTTGGTGTTGCCATATTGGTTCAACATTCAGATTCAGTTCCTAATTCAGCCACAAACAAAAACTGCTTAAAGTCTCCTGAATCAAATGGTTATCTTATCAAAACTTTAAGCAAAAGAGGTCTCAAAATTTCAACATAAATGAAGTTTCAGAATTTGGGAGCTGCATGTACAAGTGCCATTTGGATCTTAAATAAGAAAAAACTACCAACATCAGACAATTTCTATCCTTGATACCCAATGGTCATTGGATGCAGATCTCTTTGGGTATATGAATTGCAACCAGTTTCAAATGGAAGCTATCACATACAGATTAAAAGAGAACAAAGGGAAGAACTTTGAAACAAGGTAAAGCATATTAAGAAGCTTAGGCAAAACAGACCTCTTTAGGTATGTGAATCTTAATGAAATCATTGAGATAGAAATTACTGATTCCATTCATGAAGAAATTGACGGTTCTTCAATAATTTCCTTATCTTTGCTCTAGAGTTTTGAAATATTATTTGCTCTAGACTCTAGAGCATATAAATTATTCCTCCTTTTTGGTAGGAGGGGCCAAGGGGTCAACAATAGTGACAGAAGCCACAACCTAAATAAAATAGGGAAAAGTACAGAAACACATGATGCAGAATTCTGAATTCCAGCTCCCCCCTACAACTAGCCCTCTCCTCCCTATAAACCACATCCTGCCCGTGAATTTGGCATCAATTCACGGTCAGGATGCATTCCCCCTGTACTTTGGGCCTAGTAAATTCTGATTTGGGCTGATTGGTACTTCTCCCAATAAAATATTCCCAGGCTAAGGTGACGTTTGACAAATCTGAAATATGAAAAGTTAAAAAGGTATTAAGTGTCTGAAATCTGAAAAGAGACATGGTTGTTTTACGACTTTTTAGAGTCTCTAAATAAAGAAGGTTGTTTATATTGGATTAAACTTTCAGCATCTGAAATTCATTGATTTTACTATTTTACCCCTAAAATAGACTATTTAGTATTTTTGAGTTCAATTTGCACTATTTCATAAAAAAATAATTTATTAAATTTAAAATAATAGTAAAAAATATGAGTAAATTGTAAAAAATAAAAAAAAAATTAATAAAATAAGGATAAAATTGAAAAATTCATATCAATTTATAAATTAAAAATAAACTATTAAGAGCTAAAATAATAATGAAAATAGTAATAAAGACCATGAAGCAATAACAAATTAATATTTTAAAACTATTAAACCATTTAGTGATTAATAAAATTAAAATAATTAATAATTAATACAAAAATAATTTATAAAAAACAAAAATAATTTATTAAAATAAGAAAAATGTTGGAAAGAACTGCCATTGCTACTGAGAATTGCAGTGGCGGTGGCTAGAAAACAGGGGAGAGAGAGAGAGAGGAATCGAAGACACGTTGTTGCTAAGAGTTGTGGCGGTGGTGGTGAGAAGGCAGAGGAGAGAGAGAGAGATGAATCGAAGACACGCCGTTGTTGAGAGTTGCAGCGACGGTGGCAGGAAAGAAGAAGATCTGAAATGTAGTATTGCTGGAAGCAACATCAACATTCTCTTTAGACGGATCCGCAGATTCGTAAAGTAGAGGATATAGAAAATGTCAAGGAAGAAGAAGAAGAAGAAGAAGAAGAAGAAGAAGGGGAGAGAGAGAAGGTGGAGGGAGAAGCTTGCACTGTGCTGTTGAGTGGAGAAGAAGAAGAAAGTATAACTTCCCAGCGGCAAATCTCCTTTCTTGAATAAGGGTAAGAGTCGAATGACCTAAATTTTTGGCTTATATGAAGGGCATTACGGATCATTCAAATTTCTATGGGGCGCTTTCGTCTTTCGCCCTCGTTTGAAATGGCTCTTAGCGCGTTAAACACATAAAGAGGCTCTTTTCTATTTA